AATCGTAGTCCAAATAGTGGCCCAAGAGAGTCGCCCGACCAAAGAGGCTGGCGCTCGGAGGCGCGCTTGGTTGGGCGAGGGAAGCAAGGTTGGCGCCCGAAGTCGCGCCCGGCCGGGCGCGAGAAATGTATCTAAAGGAAAAAGGCGCGCCCGATCGGGCGGTGCCTCGCCCGATCGGGCGCGTGTTATTATTAGATGTTAATTATTCGACGTTTAAGTTTGTTTTAGTTTAGGATTCTTGCTTAGTATAAATACTTTTCCGTTAAGCGAGTTTAGGATTTTCTTTTTACTCTTTCTTAATTATTTTCTTAGATTTTCTCTCTCTACTTAGCTTTTAGATTAATTTCTCTCTCATATACTTTGTTCTTAACTTTATTCTTCATTCTAGATTTATTTGGTAACGATTTCTCTTCTCTTAATCTTAGTTATTTATTTTATTCCTTTGATCATGTCTTGTTTTATTACTTTGTTTAGTTTAGATTTAATTATGTGTGAGTAGTTTTCTTTCTAGAGTTTATGGGAATCCATAAATAATATGAAGGGGTAATTTATTGTTGTTGATTATCAATGCTAGATTAATTTCCTATTGATTGATTTAATGCTCTGTGACTAGATTTGCGCAGATCTTTTATGCATGAGTTTAAAAATGTTGATTCGAGATTCGACATATGAGAATTGATGTTTAGGTCTAGTTTCAATAGGCAGGTTAATTTATAAATGGTTAAGGCGAGATTCGGATGAGATTTAATACCGGTAGATTAATTGTGTGATTGTAATACGTAGCGAAAGCCCTTTATGATCTGATTAATGTATGCATTGATGATTGATTATTATGCTTTACCCTGGAATATTATTTATTGGTGAACCTATGCCCTTTATTCTTAATCTCCTTAGTTTAGTTCCTTTTGATTTTAATATATTGGTAACTTCATAATCTAGATTATTTTAGTTAATTAGGAATAGAAAGACTTGTTTCCCTGTGGATTCGACCCTACTTCCCTATCTATTTTAGTTAGTGGTTTTAGGAATTACTTTTGATTAGGTGATACGACTATATCCTGTCACATAGCTGAAACAAAGTTGGTAATTTTTTAACTTTATTTCTTCTTTAAATCTGGTAATATATATTGGTTATTCAGGAATTAATTAAACTTAGTAAAGTATAAGCTTTTTTTGGTCAGGTTTTATCTTGTTATTGTCAGGTATTATATCATTTTTGGTTAGGTTTATAGTGATGCATTAGCCAGGTATTACATTATTTAAGTCAGAAATTAAATTACTTTTGTCAGTTATAAAATTATTCTACTCAGGTATTACATTATTTAGGTAAGGAGTTAAATTGATTGTGTTAGAAATAAAATTGTTCTAGTCAGATATCAGGTTGAATCATTCAGGTTTTAAATTACTTTGTTAGGAATAACAACTTTGGCTGATATGCATTGTCTGGTGATAATTCATAGTACTCAGATAATAGATTGTTTTAATCATGTATTATATATTTATTGTCAGGTGTTAGGTTATGTTAGTCAGGAATTAGATTTATATTTAACCAAGTATCAGCTATTTACCTAATAATTTATTTTATACAAATAATTGTGTTACTTATTATGTTTTATTTATTTTGCAGATAATCTTTCCCATTGGGTTCCATAATCATTTTACTCTGCTGGTTTTTAATTTCATTCCTAGTATTGAACCAAAAATAGATTGGATAAATAACAGGAGTGATATGACTCGAGACAAATGGCAAGGAATAGATAAAGTGTTGGTAAGATATTTTAAATTAAATATCTGAGTATCACAAGGTAATAATAAAATTTCAAAATTGAAATGGGATGAACCTGAATTTACATGGCAGACAATCATTGAAAATCAGGATTGTGGGCTTTTTGCATTAATGTGTATGAAAAAATACACTGGATTAGATGGAGGTCTTATTGACTTGAAATATGTAAGTGTTTTTGTTTTTGGATATTTACTTATTATTTTATAATATTCTTATTTTGTATTTTTGTATAAATTAGTAGAAGCAAAATCGGAAGTTGTATAGATGCAGAGTTGCTTATGAGTTGGCTAATAGAGAAGATAATTTTTTGCGGAAGCAATTGTGGAACAATTGCATTGCATTTTCTATAAACAAGCATAAAATTTGGAAAGCTCAGCCAGCAAGAAAGAAGCTTGAGGCCAAATATGAGAAGGAAAGGGCTGCCATTCAAAGAGCAAAAGAGAGGCAATGGTTGTTGGAGCAAAAACAACAAAAACAAATTGAACAACAGATTCAGGAAAATAAAGACAAAAGTTAGATAATTTTCTTTTTTTTACAATTATTCATATGTATATATATTGTCTTTTTGTAGTCAGATATTAGGTTTGTTTTGTATAGATACATAAAATTTTTGTTTTTGTTAGGTATTTTTACAAATATTTATTTATGTATATATTTTCTTTTTTATAATATATATATATTTTAAAAGTAAGATATTAAGTTTCTTTTCTTTAATAATACCAGTCAGATATATTGTTATTTATATTAGAAATTAGATTATCTTTATCATGAATAAAAAAATGATAGTAAGGAATTAGTTTATTTTGATCAGGAATAAAGTGATATTTAACAGGGAATAAATTATATTAGTCAGAAATTAAATTACTTCAGTCAGGAATTACAAAAAATATCAAACCTTAATTTTAAAAATTTAAAATATCAAAACATAGTATATTTTACAACTAATTTGAATATAAAAAAAATTATTTGATGAGTGACCCTATATTAAATGAGTTGTGGATTTGGAGTTTTTGTTCCAAACTCATTTGGATCTCTAGTTGTTGTTCTTCTTCTTTCAAAATGTCCTCTAATTCTTTTGTTCTTCTTTGGCCTTCCTTTTGTTTTTGGTCGTTTTGGATCTTACACTGTATTTCTTCTCTCTTCTTCTTCATCAAGTTCACGAATTTTTTCTTCTTTTGTTTTGAACATTTTCCTTACAGATTTGTACATTTTTTCCAAAGTATCATCACATATTTTTTATGCTTCTTCATTCCCTTGACATATTGTCACAAGGTTGTAAAAAATCTTTGTTATTGATTGCCTCCAAGGAGTGTTTATTAATGAATGATCTGTAGTTGAATTTCCTAACAAAAAAAAAAGATTACTACATTTTTGTCAGTAATTAGAGAATTTCACTCAGGAATAAAAACATATAGCTCAGGAATAATATTATAATTATTAGAGATAACAATATTAACATCAGAAATAAATTTATATATGTCATAAAAAATATAAGAAAAGTCAGCAATAAGTTTTAATATGTGTTTTCTGTTTGAGCCATAAGTTATTCCTTACAAAATTGATCTTATTCCTAAGTACTTTGATTTGATTCCTGATAAATAAGATAATAAACAATACATGAGGGTGTGGTGGTATTTTTTTCAGGAATTAAAATATTTAGATCAGGAATTAGATTATTTTTGTCATTTATTAGTTTTGTTTTGTCAGGAATTAAAATATGTGTATCAGGTATTAAAATATGTTTTTCAGGACTTAAATTATCAGTAAGCAATAAAATTGTTCCAGTCAGGCATTAGATTATTTTGGTCAGGAATAAGATTATTTTGGCCAATTACTATTATTGTAAATCATAACAATATATATATCAGGATTAAGATTATACTTTCAGGAATAAGAAACGTTTGGCATGAATAAGATATGGTTAATCAGGAATAAGAATCTAAATGTCAGGAATAAGATATGTATAGGCATGAATAAGATATATTTAATCAAGAATAAGAATCTAAATGTCATGAATAAAATACGTATAGGCCATAAGTGTTCTTGTATCATGAAAAGTTATAAAAATATGATAATTAAATATATTTTATTATGAAAAAGTTATAGAAATTTGACTAAAGTAAAAAAAAAAAAAAAAAAAAAAAAAAGACATATAAAACTGAAAAAGTATTTATTTCCAACTTTAAAAAGTCATACAAATTTGAAAAAACTGAAAAAGTATTTAAAGATCTTCAAAAACTCATACAAATCTAAAAAAACTAAAAAAAGTCATATAATTTCAAAGTAATTTATTGCATCATGAAAAAGTCATAAAAAAAAGACAAAAGTCATAATTTCTTCTGTTAAATTACATGTCAATTATTGTTGTTCATACATAACTATTTTCTATTTAAAGGCTGTTTAAATTAAGTTTTTTCTATAAAAAAAAACCTTAAATTAACAACCTCTATTGTTTCTATATAAGGTCGAGTCTTATATCATAACTTCAGAATAAGTTATATTTTTTTCTTTTGTACAATCTTGAAGACAATGACTGATTTCTATGAAAATTTGGCAAAATGTTATGTTAAGTTCAGATCAATTTATCGGCTTAGTTTGGTAAATACATTAAGCTTTATAGTTATATATTTGTTTTGTACCTTAGTAAATATTTAATGTTTTATTTTTATTTTGTGTGTGTGTGTGTGTGTGTTTTTTTATATTTCAGCCACTTCCTGCAGATTGGAAAGGTTTTCTTTTAAGATTCAGAGGTCCAATTAGAGTCTATCATGGGAATAATGGCAGATTTTGGGAAGTTAAAGTGTTAAGCGTACCACAAAATACAGGAACCTATGGTGGCATGGTTTTTTTTTTTTTGGTGTTTAGAGAGCCACAAGGGCGGGGGTGAGAATCGATTCCAGGATCTCCTAGAGCTGGGAGGGAAGCTCTAACCACTTGAGCTATCCCTCACTCTCGTGGTGGCATGTTTATTGATGATGAATGGACAAGCTTTGTGTCATCCAATAATTGTTGAAGGAGAAAGACTGGATGTTTATCATGATATTGATTCAAATTTCTACATTAGAGTTTTTACTGCTGATGGTAATGAGAGGATTCCTACTGATGCAGAAAATGGTATTAATGTATAAGTTTCTAGGTTATGTTTAAGTTTGTAATAAATAAGTTTATATTTATCAGGAATATTTATATCAGGTATAAGTTTATGTTTGTCAAATTAAACTGTTTTATTAGAAGTAATTATATTTATTTCAGCAAATAAACTATCATTGTCAGGAATTCTATAATATTTGTCAGGAATAAATTCTTATAATTAGGAGTAAATTACTTTCATTTTATATTTAATTAACAAATAATAAATTTTTAAATAACAAAGTATGTATGTACCTGATTCATTCTCATCCCATATCATTGATTTAGCAAGCTTTGTCCAGCGTTTCAGAATGTATCTCTCTGGTATAGCATGTATGCTGTACATTTGCATTATCTTGAGGATGTGAAAGGACAACAATCCAGTCTCTGTGAAGCACATACAAGAACACATAAACTCATGGTTTAGAGTGTAATATATTACTTGATAGGTGTGCTTATTATCTTCATCTAGAGAAACATCAAAGAATTTAACATATTGCATTGAAGTGGTCTTTTCTCTTGCATATGCTCCTAGACTTGTATCAAATTCCAACTTAAAATCCTTGTATAAGTTTAGAGTATAAACTTCAGCTGCATGTTTTAATATTTTTGTTGTTGTTCTTGGTTTCTCAGTAGTATATCTGAAGTTGTCACTCTTTTCAGTACTTCTCCATCTTTTCACAGTAGCTTCAAATATGTGAAAGAACTCTAAAAGCTTAGTGGTTCTGTTGGGCTTAAATGAAATTGCTCTGTTTGTTACTTCTACTCTTTGAGATGAAAGAATTCCAGCTGAGAAAATGTCCTTGCTCAATGTTGTGCACCATTTATCTCGTAGCCCGTATAACCTGTCAAACCATTCTTTTTTTTTTCTAATCCATGTTTTTGAAACATCTTGTGCCAGCAATCTTCAAATTCAGATTCAGAATCACAGCCACTTAAGCATTTGTGAAACATATTTTTGAATTCAGGATTGGTTTTTAGAGTTCCAAAGTGTGACACAAAATTCTTTTGCAAATGCCATAGACATAATCTATGTCTTGAATTTGGATAAACCTGCAAAAGAATTAATTTATTTAAACAAGGATTTTATATTTTTCAGTCCGAAATTTGATTATTATAATCAGCAATTAGATTACTCAAGTCAGGAATTAACATATTTTAGTCTGATATTAGATAAATTATGTAAGATATTGGTATTTTTGTCAGGAATATTTTAGTCAGAAATTAGCATTAAAAACATAAATTAGCATATTTTAGTCAGATATTAATTAATATACTTTAGTCAGAAATTAGCATATTTTAAATTCTGAAATTAGCATATTAAAGTCAGAAATTAGCATATTAAAGTCAGATATTAGTTAATATATTAAAGTCAGAAATTAGCATATTTTAGTCAGATATTATTTAATATATGTCAGGTATAAAAGTATTTTATCAAGAATTAAATATTCTTAAAGTTTACTTAGCGTGGCTGTGAATATTATGTGTTTTGGTAAAAGATATTTAGAATAAAGATATTTATTAGATTTTGGATAAGGACAAAAATATGTAATAATAAAGATATTTACTTAGAGTTTTGGATAAGGTAAAAAACATGTAATAATTTTTTTAAATATTTTTTATTTGTCTATAAAACCATTATTTTCTCACACTTTTTTCATGTTTTTTTTTCTGTTATGTTATCTCTCCTAAAATTAACTTTTTTTCTGTATTCCTCAAATATGCAAAATAATTCTCAGTCTTCTACTTCATCAAACGATCCAGAAGAAAATGTTATTGAAAACTTTGAAAAAAAATAAATGATCTGTTGGAAAGGAGAGATAGAGTGAAGGATGGACTGATGAAAAGTGGAAAAGAATGAAATCGAAGAAGTGAGGAAGAGAAAGAAAGCACAAGAGAAATGCCAGGAAGCACACAACAAAAAGCAGAAAGAAGAAGATCAACAAAAGAAGGAACAGAAAGAACAAAAAAAAATGAAAAGAAAAAACAAGTTTAAAATCTCAAGAAGAACAAGAAGAAGATTCAGATTCAAGGGTTTTATTTTTTTTCCCTGTTAACTTTAAAGTTCATTCAATATCATTTCAATATATGGAAAAAATGATATGTAATGACTTCAAATTTACTAATACATTATATTTCGTTATTTGCTGCTGTTATTATATTTGCTGCTGTTATTATCAAAAAGTTTTATTTTGTTGCTTTATTCAGGTATTGGTTTTTTTTTGCTAGGTTATAAGATATATTATCTTAATCAGTTAGAAATTAGATAAATTAAAAAAAAAATAAGAATATTTTGGTCAGGAATTATAACATTTTGGTCAGAAATTGACTTAAAATGAAATTAAATACATTTTTAATTCTTAATGATATAATTTCGTTCATGTAATAGATTACTTATGTCAAGATTAAGAATGTTGCTATAATGAATAAGATTCTGTTAATCAGGATTAAATAATTTGAAGTCATTAATATATCTTAGTCAGGTATTGCATTTTTTTTCTAAGAAATATTATTATTTTAGTCAGGAATTAGGATACATTAAATTATAGAATACATATATTATGAAGCTAAAACATATATTATTAGTCAGGAATTAAATAGTTCTTAGAAGAGTTAAAACAAGTATTGATCTATTTTTATCAGTTATTAAAATATTTTTAAAAGGAAACCATATATTATAAAAACAAAGTACTTACCTCTGGTATGACATTACTCATTGCTAGGGGTGAAAGTAGTTTGGACAAAAACCGAAAACTGATCCAAACCGAACCGAATTAGAAATTTGGTTCGGTTTTTTCGGTTTTCAGTTTGGATTCGGTTCCAAAAAACTGAAACCGAAATATTTCGGTTTGGATTCGGTTTGGGGTCCCAAAAAACGAAAACCGAAATCCAAACCAAAATGTTTAAGCCCATAGATTTCTAGCCCAATTCCCCTACATATAAATAGCAAAACCCTAATATTCCTCCTTCATCTAATCTGACTTGCACCTATTCCGCCCAACATCTCTACCTCATTTCTTAGTTCCTCACCAAAACCCTTATTCTCCCTCATCACCTCACTCCGGCCACCGTACCTCGTATCTCACCACCACCTTCCTTTAGTTCCAACACTCCCTCAGATCCGGCATTTGTACTCCCTCAAATCCGTGACGCGCCACCACCTTTCTCAGTCACTCAAAGGTTGTCGTTGTTTCCTCCTATTCCTCCCACGGGTATTCCGATGAAGATCTTGCCGCAGTTGCTGCCGAGACGATAGGCTCCAGTAAATGAAATCTCACTATTCAACTACTACATTTTAATTTCTTGATTTTTGAATCAATTACTATAAATTTCTAACAGATTTGATAAGCTTGCTACAGTACACTATTCCACTAGTGCATGTTAATTTCTTGATTTTTGAATCAGTTACTATAAAGTTGTAACAGATTAAGTTTTGCTTAATTCTCCAACTATTTCAATTGGGTTTTGTTCTTTCGTAGATGTGTGTTCGTCAAATTACCAATAGTACTCAGAAACTTTTGATTTTGTGTACACCCTTTGTAATTGAATGTGCTGAATTTAAGCCTAGAATTTAAGTGCCCAAAAAAATTCGGTTTGGATTGGATTCATTTCTCAAAACCGAATTATTTCGGTGTGGATTGGATTGGATTGAATCCAAATTCGGTTTGGATTCGGTTTCAAAAATCTGAAACCGAAATAATTCGGTTTGGATTCGGTTTGGGGTATAATCCAAACCGAATACCGAACTTTCACCCATACTCATTGCAAGATCCTGATTAGTGAAGATTGATTTTGGTTCTATTCCACACAATGACTTTTTGAAAATTGAAAGAAGCCAAACAAATGTGTCAGCCTTTTCATCAGTTATGAATGCACATCCAAACATTGTTGTTCTCCAGTGATTGTTTATACCAACAAATGGAGCACATATCAACCCATATTTGTTTGTTCTGTATGTTGTATCAAAGATTAAAACATCACCATAAGCTTTGAAATCTTCAAGCATTTGAGAGTCACGCCAAAAATAGCTTACAACATTATTTTTTTTTTCCAAATTTCAGTCTGTAAAAGAATGAAGGAACTTGATCCGCTCTTTCTTGAAGGGAGTCTAATACATTCAGCATTTCTCTTAGTATGACCTAAGTTAACATGAAATAATTCGTAAATTAACAAATTACATAAAACAATTCGTAAATTAACAAATTACGTGAAATAATTCGTAAATTAACAAATTACGTGAAATAATTCGTTAATTAATAAATTACGTTAAATTATATAGTTAGTTAGATTATAGCATACATGAATTAAATTTTTTAATCCAGTCATAAATACATTGAAATTGTCAGGAATCAGATTATTTTCACAAATTACCATATTATTTTTCTAAGGAAATTTGTTCTATTAGTCAGGAAATAGGATTATTCGGATTAGAAATTACAATATATTAGTTAGGAAATAAATTATCTTAGTCAAAGTTAGAATAATATTAACCAGGAAAAAAAATAATAATAGTCAGGAATTATATAGGAAATGAAAAAGATATAGATAATATTAGTCAAGAAAAAGATAATAATAGTCAGGTTTAATGTAATAATAGTTAGTTAGATTATAGCATATAGGAATTATTATTTTTAATTCAGTCATAAATACATTGAAATTGTCAGGAATTAGATAATCTTAGTCAGGAAATAAATAATTATAATCAGGTTTAATATAATAATAGTCAGTTAGATTATAGTATACAGGAATAAGATTTTTTAATCTAGTCATAAATACATTGAAATTGTCAGGAATCAAATTATTTTCACAAATTACCATATTATTTTTCTTAGGAAATAAGTTTTATTAGTCAGAAATTATATTGTTTCTGTCAGAAATTAGACTGTATTAAATTAATTGTATGCATTTACATCATTAAATTACAGAGCATTTAATTATTAGTATACCTTTTATAGCAGCATCTTCATCTCTTTCTTCATTGATGTTGTCTTCTATAATTACATTATCTGCTGCATACATCATTAGTATTAGTATATTTGAATTTTACTCTAAAATTATCAAAAAAATAGATTCAAATTTAAATTAATTTTCTACGACATATTATATATACAATTCAAATTAAAATAGCTTTGCATGCAAATTACAAGTATAAAATAAATACGATCGAAAAATAATTTAGCCTTGATTGCAAGTTATTAGTCGAACTTAAATGCGATCTGAATATAATTAACATTGATTTTAAATTATAAGTCGAAATTAACTACGATTTGAAATTAAATTATGCTTCATTTAAAATTAACAACGATCTGAAATTTAATAAGCATTGATTGCAAATTATAGGTCTAAATTAACTTGAATTTAAATACGATATGATATTAAATCGAAATTTAATACGATATGAAATTCAATTTGCCTTGCATGTAAATTATAAATCGAAATTCATATTACAAATTCACTATTACATTTAATGGAAATTTCACCATATACCACTGAGTTTGAGCTTAATTCACCGTATACCACCAAAAACTTTCTAATACACCAAATACCACTTAATTATTGTACATTAACATGAAATTCCTTTTTGGCTAACTGCCGTTAGTGATCAGTTTGGGGTAATTTACCATTTCACCATATACCATTTTATGTAAAAGTTTTTTCACCATATATCATGTTTTAAAAGTTATTTCACCATTTACCCATTTTTTGAAAACGGTAATATTTTCAAAAAACTAGCCGTTGAACACTAATAACGACTAGTTTGTTTATTATATAAATGGAGTGTTTGAGGGATTCACATAGTACTTCACACTTCCAAAAGCATTTCTAAAATATGTCCACACACTCGAGTTCATCATCTTCCTCTTTCGATTTTTCGTATGTAAAAGTGCTCTTTTACCAAAATATAGCTAAGAATTCTAATGCATATTACTTTTAGCAATGATACTTTGTTTACAATGATCATTTTAACGCTACAAATAGAATAACAAAAAACATAAGTACTCCTATTTTAATTGCTATGTCTACTATCTTTTGTTGTTTTGCTACTCTTCTCTTGAGGTTCTTCAATTCTTGCTTCAACAAGCTCTCACCTCCATACAATTGCGTGTTTATCCCTCCCCTGTTTTGATTATCGTAACCCGATACGACATTTTGCTCCACATAACTCTTGCACCATACGAATGTCTCACATACATCACACTTATAGTACAACCGTTGTGGATTTCTTGCCGAATCTGAGCTCCTTATTGCAAACTTCCTACCACAACAACAAGCTTTGTTAGACACTTTTACATACGAAAAATCGAAAGAGAAAGATGATGATCTCGAGTGTGTGGACATCTTTTAGAAATTCTTTTGGAAGTGTTAAGTACTACGTGAATCCCTCAAACACTCCATTTATATATCAAACAAACTAGCCGTTATTAGTGTTCAACTGCTAGTTTTTTGAAAATATTACCGTTTCCAAAAAATGGGTAAATGGTGAAATAACTTTTAAAACATGGTATATGGTGAAAACTTTTTTTACATAAAATGGTACATGGTGAAATGGTAAATTACCCCAAACGGCTCACTAACGACAGTTAGCCAAAAAGGCATTTCATGTTAATGTATAATAATTGAGTGGTATTTGGTGTACTAGAAAGTTTTTGGTGGTATACGGTGAATTAAGCTTAAACTCAGTGATATATGGTGAAATTTCCGTTTAATCAAATATGATTTGAAATTAAATACAATCTGAAATTATGAATTGTATTGTACCTTTTTCAGCAGTAATTGTGCTAGAAATTGATTCTATATGGGTGAATCAGATTCTCCTTCTGTCATCATTGTGTTGTTTGATTACTCCATTTTTTTATTTGAATTGTTTGAAATTTGAAGATTTGAATGCTCTGGAATTTGAGGAAATGAAGTCGTTGAAATTCGACGAAATGAAGGCGTTCGAAATTTTGAGTAAATGACGACGCTCGAAATTTTAGGAAAATGATGAAAACGAAAAAATTCAGACATTTTATAAAATGACCCGCGAGCTTTGGTCGGGTTTATCAGGCCCACGCCTTTTTTATTTAGAGCCCGGTCTCACGTGAGTCTAGTCTCACACAAAACGCTTTGATCTCAAATATAAGGAATTAAATTTCATAATTAAATTCATGGCAAATTCCTAAAATTGTTTGGTTACCAAGGTTACTAATGAAGGAAGTAACTTCCAATGAGAATTTCTATTATGTTGAGGGTTTAACTAAGTAAAGTCCTACATTTTGCGAGAAGTGTAAATTTTGCTGGAAGTGTATATTCCTAGGAAGTTTTACTTCCCTCGTTACACTAAACTTTTGTCAACCAAACAATAACACAACTAACTTGTAATCCATAGAAAGTCTCAAAGTGTTAATCTCTGGGATAAACAAAAATCGTTTATCACACGATATTTTGGTAAATAAGTCAACGACATTATCTAGTCATCATCACCGTGGGACTCGCTTTTATTGAAAAAGTTATTGATTAATTTACCAAAATATCATGTTGTAACACCCCAATAATTCTCTATTTAAACCTATAAATACCCTGAACAAAATCCAAGAGAATTACTAGCGTGTTACCGCCACGTGTTCAAACTTTAAGGTTGTATCAAATATTAGCAGCGAAAAAAACTAAATCAGTTATAAATAAGTTTCAAAACCAACAAATAAAACCAAATTAAGTGATACAAGCTGGAACCATTAATGCCCTTATTCCAAACTCAAACCAATAGAAGTAGTATGAAAGTAAAATTGAGTTTAAATAACTTCAAAAGTAAATAACAATAAAAATAAGAAAAGCAACCAATACTCCAGTCAAGATCCCACCACCTAGATACGGATGCTGCATGTGTAAGAACCTATGGTTAATCTGCTCCCCAATATTACAAGTGTAAAAATTGGATTGTCACAAGATCATTGAAAGGCGAAGGCCATGACCAAAGAAAGACACACAAAGCACGCAATCAGCAAAGCTGAGTACATACAAGCTGCGAAACATTAAAAAAAATCCCTAACATACTATTAATAATCAATCATCACGCATCATTAGTTTGTAGACTCAACACATGACTCAACTATCACTTTACTAAGACTCCACTAATTAAAAGTAGTTAACTCATCATTTTTATTCATTGGTGCAATACACAAGGTTGTCCAACCCATGCTCCATTTAGAACATCAATAAAAGAAAACCCCATGCCTCCTTTCGGAAACATCAATAAACATCCAACGACCACGGGCGCGACTCCGTGCTTGTAGTTAGTATGAGATCTCATCTAACTCCTAGTTTTGAAAAGTATTTGAAATATGAGACTCGTAGATCAGACGGCCTCGAGAAAAGTGCACAGTTAATACCCCGTGTACCCCAACCCCTGATTGTCATTACTCCAGATGTGCACAAATCTAGAGTTTTATTGCTCATCCATCTTGCACTTTGCGTGATTTACAAGTTTAAACTTGGTGATGACTCTTTTGCAAACAACACAATCAATCTATTATCAATTCAATTAAGTAAAGCAAACTTTCGAATTTAAATTCTTGATTTATTAATGACAAACAACATTTATTATTTAATCCTTTAACTACCTCGGTGTATAAACACCTTGAGTGCATAAGGCACCCCACAAACTTAACCTCGTCATATAAGACTTAAATTCTTCCTTTACTCATCTTGTTTCCATAATCATGAATGAGTAATAAATTAATCATTTCACCAATCACATACCTTTGCCTCTAAGCGCACCTTGCATAATTAGAGCATAAACAATACTTGCAATATAGAATAGTGCACGTCATACGAAAATTCAGAATGTATAACCAAACAATTTAACCTAGTCATCCCTATACATGATACTAAGTTCTCGATCCGTCCTTAAACATGCACCTAAAAGCAAGGTTTCGTAACTCGTACGTACCTTGAATAAACAAATTGGTATGCCACTTTACTATCTAGAAATCACCTTCAATAAATTCCTCTCCTAAACCAAACAATAACATCTCAATCAATACCCGATCAATCAAATTTACAGCAGTACTAACTTACTTTAAAACCTTCAAAATCCAAATCAAACAACACTTTAAAACCTTCCCTTTAGTTAAAATTAAAGGCTTATATATAGTTCTTTAAATTTTCTTCATAAAAACCTCAAAATACACTCTTAGACATGAAATTACAGCAAGTTTAAAGTTCAATAAAAATCTGAAAATTATTTTAGAACCCCAAATAATCTCCCTTTTTAATGGGTGATTAAACCCTCTTTATAAAACATCAAAAGTAGTACTTAGAATCTATTTCCAGCACTTTAGATTAATTAAAAACCCTTCAAAACTTTATCAACACATCACTTTTATACTCAATTAATAGTCTCCTAGGAAATAATCACTTCCTAAAAAAAACAACCAACAATTGATATTACTAACCCAATTAATTTCCAACAATATATCATGATGAAAAACCTCTTACAACTTCAATAAAAACATATATGTATGCTTAATTAACTTTAAACATAATTAATTTTATTAATCAAACTCAAGTATAAAATTTTAAGCATTAAAAAAAAAACTTTGTTAAATCAAAAATTGCCCGGAAATAATATTTAGAGGCTGAATTTGGCCACGAGAGGGTGGTTCTCACTACCAAAGGTAGTTAGTCTTTCTTAAAACGTTATTTTCACATGGAAAACACTAATTTTTTTTTTATCAAAATCGGATGAGTTCAGAACCTGATCGGGATTAAAAACGGGATTAATATTAACGAACGAAAATCTTAAAATAAAACATGAATTTACGTGCTCAAAATAATCTGGAATTAAGTTAAATTAATCAGTAGTTATAATCACCAAAATTTCAAAACATCAATACTATAAAAGCCCTAAATCAATTGTTCATAAAAACCCTAAAATCATGATTTTCAATAATTAAAAACCCTAGGCTATAAAATTTACAAAATCTGAAAATTATGACATTTATAAAATCTGAAATTATAAAGTTTAATCATAAAAATAC